TTTCGTCAACGTGAATTCGACTATGATGATAACAGAGGTCACAGGCGTCCCTTTGCTATTGACGATGATGAATAGAAGACTTTGCAGGAAAAAAAACACATGTACAACTAGGGTAAGGCAGAGGAAAGGACTTAGTGATGAAGTTGCTAACATGTGAGGCCCCGAAATGGGAAACTGCGAGTTCGAATCTAGGCTGGGCTCTCCGTTTTGCAATGTAGTTCAACATTTACAATTGTTCCGCAACTTTGAGGACGAACTCGGTGTGAGCAACCGAGCTTCTTCAGAGCATCGAAAGAAAGTTGGAAAATCGAAGAAGCTCGGTAAGTAATGCCCAACGAATTGAGTAATCCCTTACTAAGATGCGAGGACGCAGGTCCCATTACCGACCCTGCAAAGATTGAATGAGCTGGGCTACTAAACGTGCCCCATCCACCTTAGTCGTCATACCTCTCGTCTACCAACTACCACTTCGAGAATTTCGACAAATTGTTGTGCGAGTAATACCTGAGAAATCAAGGCTATATCGAAACTTCGTTCATAGACTTCATCTTCAGAATTCCAGAGCTTTGCATAACCGAAATAAACGAAGTTATTCCTCCTAGCAGACATGTATAAGTCCTACTGAATTTTTTTCCGATTAATAAAGTTCATTCCGAGATGAAGTTTGAAGCCAACTATTAAAATCCGAATAAGCTAATACTAATGTATATTAAACAGAAACCAGCGTCAACATTTTACACTTCAACTCACCTGCGAATGCTCTACACATGAATAAAACAAAACAAAGGAAACAATAATCAGAGGTATTCATTTTAAACAAGCTTTGTGATTTGGTCATAAGGACTCATTTATTTGATGGAATCAGACGAAGCTGTTCATGGATACACATGCCCAGATAGAGTACTATTCCCCATAAACTAGAATTATACAGTAAAACAATTTTTTAAGCACAACGTTTAAAACACTGCTAAAAAGTTATCATAGTAAAGGTTGATAATTATTTGGACGACACATGAAAGAACATTGATCAATGCCCGATTTAGGAACATCGAGCCATCACTCTAAAGCATCTCGCTACACTACAACTAAGCACGGATATCTCCTCAATGAGTTGTTATCCTATCATTGTTAAAGGTGCACCTAAATGTCGAACGACAGTGTTTAAATGCAACAGAGGAGACAATTCTGATTTCTTCCGTGACAACGGTCTCTTTAGGCGATTACTTTCTTCGACAACAATAGTCTCTCGTCGCGGTTTAACAAAATCGTGCGATGAAAAGTTTCTCATTTACTAGATATGGTTTAGAGCAGTAGTAGGAGTAGCGCAGTGGTTACTAAGGCCGTCGATCAGGAAGCAAAGGCGCTAATTCGGTACCAGCCCAACGCTCCCTTCCAATCCAAATGGGAACGCCTTAGCCCTGCTACCTCCAAGACTGCAAGAAGAATTGACATGGCTAACATTTTGTGGTATTCACAAAAAGAACATCTTCAAACAGCAGTAGAAAGAACACGTGAAATATTCAAAGACCTCTGTGGGTGATAAGTGCGATGAAACGAATTGAGTGCAAGAAGTACTTGGATCTGCACACTGGATGTGATGATGGGTCATGTAAAATGTGAAAGAAATGGATTATACCAATTCTCGGATGAAGCTGACACATCGGTTTTAGACAAGTCATTAACTGAATAGGAAAAGTGCAGGAAAAAATCTGCGAGGTAAAAAGAACTATTGAGGAGGAAATGCATTGAAATCAAAGCATTCCGCCTATTTTGTCCTACAACAGATACGATGAACTCCATGGATCTCGTCGTGAATATGTCAATAATGTTGCTACTGAAATATAACTCGTATATAATGCTGAGATATTTGCAAAACTCCGGACACAGGTGTATGCGGTGGGGAACGAAAGCGCTTTTGTCCTTTCCAGGGAATAGCGCACTTCACCACCACACCATGCGGGTCCTTTGTTTCGCACGTCTCTCAGCTATTTCTATCGATCTTTTTGCCACAGCAATCACCCGTCAGCGGGGTTGATCTGGGGAGCGCAAATCGGCATTGAACCCAGTTAAGCTGAGGCTTAGNCACAACGTTGCTGAGATATTTGCAAAACTCTGGACCGCAGGTGTCTATGGTGGGGAACGAACGCGCTATTATCCTTTCCGGGGAGTAACGCGTTCACCACCACACCATGCGGGTCCTTTGTTTCGCACGTCTCTCAGCTATTTCTATCGATCTTTTTGCCACAGCAATCACCCGTCAGCGGGGTTGATCTGGGGAGCGCAAATCGGCATTGAACCCAGTTAAGCTGAGGCTTAGTTATAATCACAATCTTAACCCTTTTATTTACTGCCTTTTTCATTTTAATGGCAGGGTATGTTGCGAAATATAACTCGTATATAATGCTATAATTGTGATTATAGCTAAGCCTCAGCTTAACTGGGTTCAATGCCGATTTGGGCTCCCTAAATCAATCCCGTTGACGGGTGATTGCTGATGGCAAAAGATCAATAGAACTAGCTGAGACACAGGCGAAACGAAGGACCCGGATGGTGTGGTGATGAAGTGCGCTACTCCCCGGAAAGGACAATAGCGCTTTCGTTCCCCACCGCATACACCTGCGGTCCGGATTTTTGCAAATATCTCAGCATTATATACGAGTTATATTTCGCAACATACCCTGCCATTAAAAAGAAAAAGGCAATAAATAAAAGGGTTAATGTTGCTACTGACTTGAGTTACTGCTTAAAAATTTCTGTTTAAAATCTCCTACTAATTTTGCGTCAACTTAATAAAAAATAGGAAGGATATTGAACAAAATGGATGAAATACTCATTCAACATCAAAAAAATCCCTCTTCTTGGAAAGAAACCTGTGGCTCACTGTCGAAAACTCGAGTTCAAAGAACTAATGACACCAACAAAACTGTATTTTTCTTTAAATCTGGACACTCAACCTAAACAGAACGGTTCCATGAGAAATGGCTTCCGAACAAGAAAACGACAAAGCAGAGAATAGCGCATTTCCTATATAACAATTAGCATACCTGTTTACCATTAATCAATTGCTTGACAGCTAATTCGACTTTTTTTCCAGAGTTCGTGTACTGAAAAAGAAAGCATTAACGCATTCACAGCAATGCTCGATCATTATAGCAGCTGAAGAGTCAATGGCTTCACAGTTACAGAGAACATACTCTGCTCAAAAGCTTTTATATAATATTATTAAATTTCTAAATATCCTTAGAAGTAAAAATTGCGAAAATTGATAATGGAGTTCGTAAAATTTCCGCGCAAGCGCAGCAGCCACAAATACAAATGATACATTGGGGAACATCAGTACTATTCCGAAGGAAATTCCGCTTTTCCAACTACTCTCGTGTTTAAAATACCACCGTCAAAGTGAAAAAAAAATACGCCTTGAGAGCTTCATAAAATCAAAATTTCTTCTTAGTAAAATAAGACAGTTTATATATGGTTGGCTAGGAGCTGAGGATTTACATGTGTTTCTTCGAATTGCTGAAGTCCACAATGGACTGATACATGTTGGTTTAAAGTTCAAACTGGTTACCGTTTTCGCACTGTATGAATCATATATGGCGCATACGATCGATAAGTACCGAATCTAGAGCTAGAGCAGTTGGGTACTTACAGAAGACAAAAAAGTGCTTTGCCGCTATAGAAGTGTATAAAATCGTTTAAAAATATATTAGTACCCCAAAAAACTATAATATTGAAAAATAAATCTAAATTTAAAAACTTTAGAACATTAACAATACATTAGGAAACACCACAGTGTCCTGTAGGAGATCACTCATGTCTACTCACTCCGATGTTTAAAATACGAGACTTGACGAAAAAAAAAGCAGAAAGAATACGTCCTATAATCTCCAAAAACGGGAATTTCACTTTGGTGGAGAAAACAAGCAGTTATTTTGCTTTTAAACATGTTTAGATCCCAATGGCTTCTGCAATAAACCTCATTGTGAGCTGACACTTGTTTGAAGATAGAACGTTAAAATATCTCCGAAATGTGCGCATGGACATCAATTCATATTGTCAGGAATGTGTAGAATCATGATAAGATATAAAACATAGTGTTTACAGTTCAGTAAAACATACAGGAATATCTTCGNCAGCATAGATGGCGTTAGGAACGTGGCGAGGAGACATCAACGTTCGTATTTGAAAGCATATACGACACTTCAGATCATCGGTTAACCTGCAGTTATCAGCCATTCTCACGAATAAGAGGATCTGCTCGTCGTTATATTCGGGACTAAATAATGTCATATGACAAATACTGTACGAAAACCAAAGAAAAAAACTAGCACAATCCACTCGTGTTACGCTTCTTCTTAGGTTTCTAAATCAAAAGAACTACAATTGTTGTCTCTTAATTGATTATCAAGGAGGCGGACAGCAAAGTGGTAGTGATGCCCGTAATCAGGAGCATGGTGCTAGTCGATTCCGCTTCGGGTGAACCAAGCCTCTCATTTTTCCGGGATCGGGAAATTGGTGCTGGATTTCTCTGGGAAAACAACCATTCTCTGCAATCCAATTGAGAACGCTCCAGCCCGGCTATCTCAGCACTCCTGGGCGAATTGCTCGAGCAGCATTCCACGACATTCGAGATAAAATGAAAATCATCAACCAGAAACCGAAGCCACAGATGCAACGAAACCGTGAGAAGTGCTGGGATCAGCAAAGTAAACATGAAAACGGGTTAAATAAAATGAAGTTAAGAAAATTCCAGTCCGTCCCGTTGCCCTGGAGTGCCCCCGACCACTGCGCCACGCTTCCCCCAGCATATACTGTTTACACAAATAAATTTACAATGCAAATGCGCGTGCACTGCAGCCATAAATGCTCTCGAAAAATGCTCGGAAAATGAGCATGCTTAGTAAAATGCTCATTTTTCGAACTTTTGTCTTTAAAAAAAAAGGTAAGAGTTTGACACTCCTTATTTCTAGGTTTTCATTTTATGAAAATGTGATCTTCTACTAGTCATATTGGTTAAAAAGCACATTATACGATCCAAATTGTGCAGAATACGAAAGTATAAAACCAGCAATTGAATACACCCTAAAAATATTCCCTAAATAGAAAAAAGTCGCTACAGAGGTAACATATTGCACCGAAGTAGATAACATGCAGACATTGTCAAGGTAAAAACTGTTTACTAACACAAACTGTCCGGCCGCAATGCTGTCACTAATCTCAGTAAATGTTTCGACGATAGAGTAAATTTCTGCTGTACCAATCCGTACGCCACCACGATTCAATGTTGCGTCACTTCTTCAAATTCATCAAATTCAAAATAAAATCCCAACAATTTAAAGGCAAGAAATCTCATTCGATAGCAAAACGACAAAGCCATTGACAAAAGCAAGTCGCTCACCGCCCAAGCATGACGACTCCACCAGTACTCGCATTTATTTGACAAAAATCACCATGTGCCCAAACACCTTCGAATCTGTAAAATGAAAGAAAAATTTTTTCTAGAAAACACAAAACAGTATGAATAACCACTACGATGCTGAGATAGAAACGCAAAGCAGGGACCTCAGTGGTGCAGTGTGTAATATGGGAGCCCCGGAACGGGCAATTGTGGTTCGATCTGGCTCGGGATCCTTGTTTTTCGAATATCTTAGCATCGTTTTGGTTGTATTTCACATCATATCCTTCCGTGAAAAGTTATACTAGGCAGCAAATAAAACGATAACAGCATTAATAACCTTTCGAAATACGCCTTTTTGTACCGCATGTTGTTTACGTCACCAACAAAATGAGAAGGCATGGAAGGAAATGGTGTTAAACAGACAAGCTCTCCTTGTTGATCCTCAACTGACTGACCTAAAGGCTATGTCATCAGCGTAACTACAGTCCAGTTGAAAATAAAATGCGTATGCGGTGAAACTTGCTGACGCTTCAACCACGTGAACCGTCATAATCTCCACCTACCATTATGGTCAAATGTCCTAACATTCATTCCAAGATAGAGACATTGACATTCTCCAGCGTAAACTGGCAAGGATAAAGAGCAGCCCATAAAACATCCTATTATATCTGTTCCACCAGAGATAGATCCGATGATGGCCTAAAAGTATGACACCAAGAAGGATAGAGAATACACAAAACGATCTTGTTTTCAAAGCTCTTGTTACACAGATACGCTCTAAAGAAATAATTTGCACAAGATAAAACTAACTAGTGGATCCTGAAAGCCGACTAAAGAGTTTACTGCCACATCAAACATCCGTTACTGTTTTTTAACCTCTACAGCGTACTTTATGCATTACACATATTCTACATTGTAATGTTATATAAAAGGATGAATGACAAAGCACGCGGCGTTGGTATGTGCCATGAATTCCATTTCATTAAGTATCAATAGAGGTAATTGAAGGCATATCTGGCCTTTACACTGACTCGCGGAGGCCTGCCGATGTATTGAGCCAGTACTGCTATCCTACCAGGCAGGTCTCGCACCAATTTGCCAATCCCGGAGAGATAGAAGGCTTGGTGGGCCAGGGAGGGCGAGGATCGATCCCATGTGTATTGCATAACGCCTGTGACCAATGAGGTACAATACAACAGTGCGTTTTAAAATCTAGACCTAGTGCTGTTACAATAACCAAGAACTATGCAATGGTGTTTACGCATTGTGACTGGTATACGAGATAACCAATGTGTTTCGCTTGCGAATAGGACCTCTTAACTTGACAGTACTGTTTCTTAATAACTGATGTTAATATCCCAACCAGCAGAGTAGTTAAAGGGCTCTGAAAGCCGGAATTTCATGCCGCTAGCATAGGAAAACTTGTACTGCATTGATAATGTTCTATGGATTCTACCTGTGCCAATCTTAACCCTTTTATTTACTGCTTTTTTCTTTTTAATGGCAGGGTATGTTGCAAATATCCCAGCATTATATACGAGTTATATTTCGCAACATACCCTGCCATTAAAAAGAAAAAGGCAGTAAATAAAAGGGTTAAGATTGTGATTATAACTAAGCCTCAGCTCAACTGGGTTCAATGCCGATTTGGGCTCCCCAGATCAATCCCGTTGACGGGTGATTGCTGATGGCAAAAGATCGATAAAACTAGCTGAGAGACAGGCAAAACGAAGGACCCGGATGGTGTGGTGGTGAAGTGCGCTACTCTCCGGTAAGGACAATAGCGCGCGTTCGTTCCCCATCGCATACATCTACCTGTTCCTTTAATCGGTTCATTATTGAGCCAGACATAGTAACGAAGACTCAAAATAGGCAATTATTTTCGCATGGAATGAATTATGTACATTATTACACAATGATATACGTATTAATCATACACAACTATTCACTTAGTGTAGTAATAAACTAAAAAATCTCTAAACTTCCACTATTTAAGATCATTCTGCACTTTTTCCTTTAAGTTCCTAACATTCCGAACAATTCCAGGTTTATTCTGGTAACAAACAAAAGTTTTCCAATGCAGAAAAATGCAATGTGTGGCTTGTACTCATGAGAGCCAAAAAAGGTAGCTACCTCTGGAGCAATGTTTCTGTTGATGAATTCAAATGTAGCCGGTTTCAGTGGTGATCCAGTGGAGTAAACTAATCGAACACGTCGTAAGTCATAAAGAGACTCTGAAATTACACCAGTATGACGCTAGCAAATAAAATAGCAAAATGCATAGAAATAAAGAGTGCGCTGAAATCAAAAGTGTTAGAATGTTGGGCTTTAGATATTGTTTTCAACTAAGAAATCAAAACAAAAACCCATAGAAATAGTTGAAGAAGGCAACGTTAAGCATAAATTAAAGAAAAAATAAATTAAAGCATAAATTATTAAATCCTCGACAATTAAACAAACCAGCTACATAGACCACTGTAAAAATTTCAAAAAAAAAAAAAATAAAAGGAAAGGTACTTCACATGCTGCGTCGCCCACAAACCCATAACATGACATTCCGCTCGAACCTTGTTTTATAACAAAAAGACAGACTCTTTTGAATTCTAACCCCAGCAGTAGAGTGAAACAAGAGACGCGTTTAAAACTGCTGGATCGTCGAAATTGTCACTCCGTATTCCTGAACGTCGAAATTAACCTGTCAAAAAATGGCTACATTACAAAGTGGTACCGAAAGCCAAGTAGTGAAAACATCTTGGTTCATTACCTCTCCTCTCACTCCTCTCACACGAAAAGGGCGCTTGTAAGAAACATGTTTCGAACAGCAACCAACGTGTGCACGGGAAGAGAGCAGAGAGAGGAGTCCCGGAACTTGGCGCGGTAAATAGCCATTTCTAATGGCTACGAAACTGTAGCTCGGGATAGGTGTAGGGGAAATCCTAGGTCTCGAAGCGACAACTCTAGCGATAGAAAGGTTTCGTTTATCCTACCCTTCATCTCAAATGATGTAAGTGCTGCTATAGAACGCTGCTTAAGAAGGGCGGGTCTAGAGAATTCGGTAAACGTATTTGAAATGCCACCGAATAATCTTAGACGCCAGCTAGTTCGTAACCGCCTATAGGACCGTCTATGCAAAATTGCATAATTTGCCCCAATGGTAATGACAGTGATTGCATGAGCTCGGGTATAGTTTATCTGATCTCCTGTAAGGCGTGCGGAGACGAATACATTGGCGAAACGGGCAGACCCCTCTGTGTCCACACCTAGTCGGCAAACGTAAGCCACATACCCCGCTAGGCACGCATAGGACCCAGAGACATAGTGGTAAGGACTTTGAAGTACGTGTCACGATCCTCGCACAAGAATCGAGAACACAAGCGCGGAAAACTCTCGAGGCGTTCTGGATTAAATCCAGAAATCCGAAAATGAACCGCAGGAAAGAATGCCTCATTACCACGCGTGATGTTGGGCAGTATATACGACTGTTATTCTGATGGGAGGGGCACATTACGCTTCCGTGTGAATTCCTTGCGGATGGCCTTCGCGCGAAATACTCATTGGAAGCCTCATAGAAAGCGGTAAGTGTGCAAAGCTGTGTTCGTTATGATTGAAATCCTGGTTCAGCGTTTTCTTTATTTGGTTGTGGAGGTGTTTGGCCGAATAAATTGCTGTCAACTTGACCTTTCCAGGCTCTGAGAAAGGCGAAATTCGCCGAAACGTCTGCTTGTGCGTAAATAAAGAAATAAAATAGCACCTCGTGTTTGCTGAACAGAAGTAGAAAGATACTACACTGATAGTTCTTGTAGAAGTTAAATGAAAGTCCGTTCCGAAAGGAAACATATGAATAGACAAGGATATGTACTTATATACATGTCTATGTATGTATACAAGTACAAATAGGGGCGTGTGACGTATTGGTCGGAGTTTCCCTGCAATGCACACACGCCCACACACGTGGAATCGATCACCGCGCACATGGTCCACCAAGCCTTCCATTGCCTTCAGGGTCGGCAGATTGGTACCAGACTTGTCTGGGAGTATAGCAGCACTGGGTCGATACATCCGTAGCCTACTGGGAGTCATTGCAAAGGCCAGATATGCATCCGTTCACCTCTAAACGATGCTTAATGAAGTCGAATGCATGACGCATCTGTCAAGGATTGATCAATGCCGAGAACTTCATTCTTCCTTTTTAATGAAAGCGCTTTTAGTGAAAATAGTAGAAAGGGTTTAATTAAGCAAAAGAAACTGGCCACTAATACTAATAGGATGGCCAGTTTTATTTTCATGAATAAAATCCGACTTTTCATCTGTTATGCAAATTTCGGATTCCCTTCTTTAGATTTGTTTCTTTGCACATTTATAGAATTCTTGAACTGTTCTAGTAGTTCATGGCACTTCATAGTTCGCCTTATTTTGGATCGGACCAGATTCAACCCTTCTATTTCAGTACGCCTGTAACCACTATGCCTTTGTAAGGCCGAAAGTTGATTATGCTAAGAAGTAGGTCATCTTCCGTTAAAGATAATGTGTGTTGTAAATTTTTAAGCCACCCAAACAGCGAAGACAGGAGGGAAACTGGATCGTGTGCATCGATGTGCACCACGTGCTGCGGATGATTGTGAATCCTAAGCTCTCACCACACAGAATTCGGCTTACTAGCATATACTAGGCTCTTGCAAACTACTTACTTCTGTAGTCAGACCATGAAAAAAGTATCCTCTAACTGAATCACTCATTTAAAAGTGAGTAGAAGAGGATGGTCAAGAAGACGATGATCGACCGTCAAGAGTATTTTCGTCAAGCCACCGTTAACTCCAAAAAAATTGAGCAGATGAGAGAGAACATGCCTCATAACCTTTAAAACATTTGTGTAGCCGCTATAGTTCAAACATAGAGCACGTGAAACGCTACGTGTGGTACCACCTCAATGTTTCTCCACAACACTTTGTAATGATACAACAAAATAAGTCCTAGATTGGAAAGAAATGGTAATTCGACGAGTCAATAACATATCACGTTGTTCAAAGTGCGAAATTATTTGCAAAATCACATGAGGTCTTTCGAAAGCGGAATATAAACGCGAGATGCAGGGACTCGAACAAAATCCGACCTCATTGACATGCATTATAAGCAGACACCATAAGATTAGTATGTCTCTTTCGTATGCTTTCTAGAACCTTGAATCTCCGAAGTGATAAGATCCTTTTGCACTGTTAATTATTTCAAATACAAGCGAAAATGGGATCTATTGCTGCGCGAAAATAACACGAAGTAGTCGAAAGGTTATGAGCGCATTCTTTCAAGGCGTTCACTACCATGCAAAGGGAGGACTTAAAGATGTTATGAACATGTTAGTCTGCTGTAGTTTTCGAGCACGACACTATCGGCAACTTATTTCCGAATATCCTTACACAAGTACTGGACCACGGTTCGCAGGCAAACAAACTAGTTTTGAAACACCTCAGATCATTTCAATATGCACATTCACTCTAGGGATGCTGTTCTGTTCTAACATATATTGCCGCTGAAAACATTCTTCACTCGAAGGTA